GCTCTCCCTCTCTCTCTCTCTCTCTCTCTCTCTCTCTCTCTCTGTTTTTTCCACATTCCTGCTATCCATCTATCAATCAATATATTAGTCGATGTTCAGTTTGACTTCGAATCTCTGAGACGACATGTTCAAGGTCAGGGGTGTCCAAGTCTGGTCCTCCAGGTCCCCTATCCAGCCTGTTTTTCTGTTTCCCTCCTCTAACACACCTGATTCAAATGGTCAGTATCGTTGTCAGGGTTCTCCTACAAAGCTTGCTGATGAGCTGCTCATTTAAATCAGGTGTGTTGGCGGAGGGAGACATCGAAAACAGGCTGGATTTGGAGGACCAGACATGGGCACCCCCTGCTCAAGGTGAGAGAACGCGTCCTCTCTTTCGTTCGAAATCACTCTTTTCAAACGGTGCTGTCGCCCTCTGCTGGCCACTTTTATACAGTCTGAGTCGAAAACGTCCAGTACTTCTCATTTGGATTCATTGCGTACTGAATGCGTCGTCCTGAACATAAATTTCGAAATTTGCTTAGCAAGGACACGAGCGGACTGTTGAAGAAAGTCTTTGTTGCTTTGTTCCACCATTTACATGAATTATTCATTCTCCTTAAATGGTGATTTTGGCTTTCAGCAACCTGGATTGGATTTTGGATTGGATACAACTTTATTGGTAACCGGATTACTAGTTAACATGTGGGTTACTAGCACTGGATGGTGCAACATGCATTTATCAGTCACAACCTGCACTGTCTATATGATATCCATGACCTGAATTCTAGCTTTACAATGATAAGAATGCTCTGTTGTACTCTATAATAATAGATAGTTTCAATAAAAATAGATGAATAATCAACACATACCTTCACATAGAATCGTATCACACGGAATAGTGTAAGATAACGCAACATAGCAGAGCATAACGTAATTTTGCACAGCAGCATATAGCGTAATATAACATCACTGAACATAGCATAACAATATTCCTTCCCGAAATATTGCATTACAAAGCACAAAACACAAGAAGACAACAACTCACCGTTTTTCTCAGTCATTTTAGCACAGTTCTCAAAATTATATTCGACATTTACAAAACAGTAAGAGCATTTTTCAATACCGTACCCAATTAGCCAGCAATAGCAACAGTACAACCAGGAGACAAACACCATGGTTTACCTATGAAAGCCAATTTTGGGCTCAAAATCTGTCGTTGGTCTCTCAAAAGTAAATATCATCTCGTTGCGATACAGAAAGGAAAAGACAACACCGCATAGCACAAAATGTGGAAGTGGGAGTGTAGGACCGTATCCTTAGGGAAAAGTGTACATGCAATACTTTAGGAATTACAGTGAAGTCTTCTTACATCCAAATCCATGATTGAGGCTCATATCTCATCAAGAATACGCGTTTGTCTTCGGCCTCTTCTGATTCTCTTTTTTGCCTCCCATCTGCAGCCTCACTCGTCTTCCTCCTCTTTTCTCTGGCTGTTGGCACTGTCCAATCCCTTGTTTTTTTATTGCCAGACATTATAACATTGTGTTCTGCTGCGGCTATTTGGTTCATGAACATCAGAGGGACAGCCAAGGTTAGATCTTTTGGAGACCAAATTAGAGAGAGAAGAGTTTGGACGCATCCACAGGAGTGATAGTGAGTACGTATGTTGTACGGCTGTGCAGTGATGGAAAAATTAATAATATGAATTATTTTGATTGAGATTGTATTTATTCACCTGTCCAAACTCAACCTTCAATATAATTAGAAAGAACAACCAGGAGCAAATTAGTATGAAAGTAATATACTTACAGATTGAAATAAAAGCAACAATATGAAACAGTTCTCTCGGTCGGTTAACTTTAGCTGTGTTTTGATACTTCCAGTAGCATTTTAGGATGAATTTTCTTTCTTCAAAGTTCAGTCTGGCTGCCATCATTTAATTTGCAAAGGGAAAAAGAAAGATTTATCAGCTGTTTAAGTGTGTGCTCGTTTTCATGGGATATCCTGTATATTGAATTGAAGCACAAAATATAATTTGTCAAAAACGGTTGAATTCTTCAATTTTTTAAAAAATTATGTTATGACTTTTTTTTCATGAAGAATAGTATTATAGAGTGCCTATAGGTAATTTCACTCGAGAAAGACATACATTTAATACAGCATAATGTATTGCAAATTATTTTGCAGACTCCCAAACTAGGATTTGTGGACCCCCGGGGGTCCGCAGCCCCCAGTTTGAGAACCTAGCACTGTGCACCTCACTACTCACTTTCGGAGGATGGGAGGCGGATGGGTGTATTATTTTTCAGTTTTGTCTTTTTCTGTTTTCTTTTTTTTTTTGCATCTCTCTCTCTCTCTCTCTCTCTCTCTCTCTCTCTCTCTCTCCCCCCGTGCTGCAGCCTTGTGACGTCAAGGAAGGCTGGAGCGCTTCCTCCTTGCTCCGTGGCGGCCAAGGGAGGGAAAATGAGCACGAGAAGATTGACATTCCGAGGTGAGTCTTTTCATCCTTCACCATGACAAAACAAAACAAAAAAATCATCAATTCTTGTGAGAGTGCGTGTGCGTTTGTGTGTGAGTGTGTGTGCGCACGCGGCCAATCCATCGCGTCATGGGCGCTTCCCGTGCGGCTAATTGACGTCCCACGGATTAGCGGTGTGAAGCTAAAAGGAGGAGGAGATGGGAGGGTTCTCAACTGAGCATGGCTCTTTTTCTGCAGCTGCACCCCACGTCCGCGCACCTTAGCGGGGCACTCGACCGTTTACGCTACGAGAAAATGTCATGTGCTGCTAGTTCAGGCTGGTCCACGCCCACAAGATGTTTTGCAGCCTGTGCTCTCTCTCTACCTGCCTGGCTGCCATGTGTGATGGTGATCAATGGGGCAGCCGATGCTTGGCCTGCATGTAAGGCTGCTACAGGAGATGATAATGGCCAATGGGCACGCACACATATTTATACGCTGAGGTTTGTGCATCCATTTTTAAAGTGCATGATAATTATGTGCACTACTGTGGCGAAGGGGTGGGGAAGTGGAAAGTTTCGAGGAAATTTACATAAGAAGCCAAGATGGGGATATACAGAATATATATATATATATATATATTTTAAATATCGTAAATAGGAAGTTCCCATGGGAATTGCGGAGAATGTATTGGAAGTGTATCATTAGAGCTACTGGGTGATGAATAGATGCATGCTATAGATGCATGAAACATTTAAGATCAAGCTTTGGAGTGAACCTTCCATTTTTTTTAAATTCCTGGTTTACTCTTGTCATTTCTATAAATTCCCGCTGAAAGCTTTCATTTGTGAAAATAGTGTAATGTCGCAACCCTTTTGACACCTAAATATTAAAAATGTCAATGCTGACTCTGAGGCAGGAAGAGCGCAAGAGTTTGGGCAAACTCGTGTGACTACAACGCGTGACAAATTGGACTGGTGCTCTCATGTGCATACTGTGCTGCTGCTGTTGTAGAAAACGGAGAAAACGACAAAAAGGTGCTGTCAGCATACTGAGATGGGATGGAGCATACTCCAGTGTGGTTGTGTGAACACATTTGTGACTTGCCTTATCTGCACTGCAGTATTATAACTCATACGTGTACAGCATGACAGTTGTTGGGAAATGTAGGGCTCGACCGATATAGATCGTTTGAGACCGATGCCGATTCCAATATTTTCAATCTGCGATTAATCGTCAGATTATTTGTAAAAATCTATTTTTTGGTCCCGTAACGCTTTCAACAACAATGGATGAATGGATTACAGGCTGATTGTTTTACACGATTGTTTCTTTTAGCATTTGTTTAATTTTCCAATGGAGCGGCATTTTCAAGTACAAAAACATGCAAAAAAAAAAAGTCATGAGTGGTTAGGGCGTCAACCCCACAGTGCAGAGGTACCGGGTTCGATTCCAGCTCCGGCCTTCCTGTGTGGAGTTTGCATGTTCTCCCCGTGCCCATGTGGGTTTTCTCCGGGTACTCCGGTTTCCTCCTACATTCCAAAAACATGCATGGCAGGCTGATTGAAGACTCAAAATTGTCCCTAGGTGTGAGTGTGGGCGTGGATGGTTGTTCGTCTTTGTGTGCCCTGCGATTGGCCGGCAACCAGTTCAGGGTGTCCTCCGCCTACTGCCCGAAGACGGCTGGGATAGGCTCCAGCACGCCTTGCGACCCTTGTGAGGATAAGGCAGATCGGAAAAGGGATGGATGGATTTAAACCATAAATGGATGCGCTACATCAGCAATATTATAAGTGAAGTTCCTTGATGCCCATTCATTTTAAATCGCACTTCTTCGACTCCATTATTTTTCATTGCTATGAAGTGATGACTTCAAAATGAAAATGAGAGACGCCTTTCTCCCATGTCAAAACATGTCATCTTCGACACAGTTGCATTTGGACCCTATGCCGTACAGTGAGAGAGTAAAACTCTGGCCGATTATTATTATATTGAGAAAGCCTCATATCGGATGGATGAACGTATATGTGAGAGGCGACTATAAACGGGTTTTCATGATGGCAGTCAGGCAATTGTGAGACGGTTAAGAAGCGAGTGCTTGTTTACTTTTGCATTGATCCGTGGAGTGTAATATTCCGTCTGCCCACCTTACTCTCCATCACTCGCTTTTTGACTGACAGCTGATATTTGTTCATGTGACTGGAGTAGAACCTGTATTCCAAATGTCCTGCAGATGTTTAATCTGAGTCAAGTTGTCCTTCGTTCTACTAGCCTGAGACCAACATTTAGATTACTGTCCTATTTTCTGTCTACATGTGTTGTCACACCATTTGTGTTCAAATGTCAGTTGCTTATAGAGTTCTAAGACGACTCTATTGGTGATAAGCGTTAGCATGTCAATGGCAGTGGCCGTAATATGTTAGCATCAAGCTAGTACAGGCTATTCGTTATGTTGATCACTATTTACCATTTTGCCCTGATCACTCGTATCTCAAGGTACTACTGTACGTCTGGTAGACATCTTCCCCGAATTACTCGCTGGGTCATCTGCTTTTGATAAATAAATGCCTCCCTCAAGAAGCGGTCAAGTAAAGTCTTCTCTTTATTTATTTAATGTAGGTGATGACATCACAGAAGGGTAAAAAGAGAAAACTGTGATTGCGACCAGAGAACCGCAAATTTTGCAATGCTGTAAAACAAACACAAATGTGTCTGTTCTGGCTGTTCAGTGCGATAGAAGAAGAAAAAAAAAGAAAATGAACCAGAATGTGCAATGCAAACCTTTGTTGAGTTTCATCTCTAGCGACATCACTTACCAGTGATCGGTGATTTTTTAAATTTTTTTTTTTATGAATCTCATCAATTGGTGACAGGCCTGAAAACCCCTGACAGTGTTACGTTTCAATTTTATACTGTAAAGAAATCCGATTGCCCTCTCCTTGCTGCGATGCGCTCGTTGAGCGTGTGTGTGCTTTGGGAGAATCCATGAAGTCGTGTGTGTGTGTGTGTGTGTGTGTGTGTGTGTGTGTGTGTGTGTGTGTGTGTGTGTGTGTGTGTGTGTGTGTGTGTGTGACATTAACTCCACAAAATGAAGAGTCCATCATTTTTACCGCATGCCAGTGAAGGACCACATGCACCGATGCACAGTAGATGTACATAAACACAATAATGTTTCGCTGGATTGATGGTTTGCCACCTTCAGTGTTTCACGAGAGTTGTTTTAGTAGGTAAAACGTGTCATACTAATTCTTCCCCTGACATAATAATCTAAGTTTAATTGTAATTTTCTTTGACACTATTTTTATTTATCGATTCTCTCACACCATTGGCTCATAGCCGTTGTAATATTTTTGGGGCCGCCTGTGCATTGCTGTTTATTCAAGCGTCCCTTATGGATCAAAGATGTGGCTCATGATTTTGGCCTTTGGGAGTGTCAACTTTTCTCACCATCTAAAAGTCCCTGTGCATAGAAAAATATGGAAATGTCACTTATGCAACGTGTTGAATAGCCTTCCCTTTTGTAATGCAAGATGGGTGTGGGGGGGGGGGGGGGACCTACAACTAGAATCTTGGGTTTTCTGACTGGATGTCTCCTGTTCTTGTTCCAGAGTGTTTCATAGCCATATATGGGTCATTCTACCCAAATGGAACAGTCATCAGGAAAATATTTTCCTCCAAATTATTGATGTACAGTGAGGATTGGAGATAGGAACCGCAGCGGTTAACAAGGCCGCCTCGCAGTGCAGATGTCGTGGGTTCGAATCCGGCCTCTGCCTTCCTGTCTGGAGTTTACATGCATGGCCCGTGCCTGCGTGGGTTTTCTCCGGGAACTCCGGTTTCTTCCCACATTCCAAAAACATGCACCGTAGGTTAACTGAACATTTTAAACTGTCCTTAGTTGTGATTGATTAGACCTTGATTGATTGTCCTATGTGTTGTGTTGTGTTATTTTTGTTATTATGACTTCAAAATGGCGCCGCGAGAGTGGCTGCCTTTCCAGCAGCTCCTATATTTTGTTGTTCTACTTCTTCCTTTCATAACTTTGCTGCTGTGAATTGGGAATTTCTCCATTGCGAGACTAATAAAGGTTTTCTTATCTTATCTTATCTTATTGTGAGCGCGAATGGTTGTTTGTTTATGTGTACCCTGTGATTGGCTGGCAATCACTTCAGCGTGTACCCCACCTCATGCCCGCGACCGTCATGAGAATAAGCGGCTAAGATAATGAATGGATGGATATACAGTATATATATACTTTCTACATATTTAGTTACAGTCAATAGCTGCTGATCAAAATGCCATAAATTGCTGGACCTATAAATACTTTAGCATCTCATTCAAAAAATATGAATCTAGCAATGCACAGCATTTCAGTAGAATGGCCCACTATGTGTATCTCTTGCATATCACGTCTTCTCAGCTTTGAGATATGCTATATACATGAGAAGACCTCAGCCATTCATCCACTTATCCCAGCGGCCGTTGTCTGGCTCATTTGCTTCTCATATCCTTCCTGGAGGCTGCGTCGCCAATCTTAAACACAGAATCTGGAGTGTGTGTGTGTGTGTGTGTGTGTGTGTGTGTGTGTGTGTGTGTGTGTGTGTGTGTGTGTGTTTTTCAAGGACACAGTTTGTACCTGTGGTATGTTTGAGGTTCTAGAGGCTGTCCCATCTGAGTGACAACGTGTTAGCATTCCACAACATTCCATGTCTTCCAGTATCATTCAGTATAAACATAAGAAAAAAAAAATACCATAGTGTTCCATAATTTTCAACTAATATTCTACAATATCATTCTGCATAATTCAGTGTCATTCATTATCCTTACCGACCATTCAAATTCCATTCCACATCATTTCCTAAACCATCAATGTCCTTCCACATTTTTCAGCGACTTATTGCACATTTTTTCACATTTCAATATAATTTCACATCATTCCACATCTTTCACCATTCCGCCTCGTTCACGATCATGTCCATATTTTTCCATTTACCATGTCTGCATTCACGTGCTTTTTACTCAGAAATGGCATCATCCAGTTAAAATATGTTTCCATTATTTTGCGTAAAGTACAATAGAGTGCTATTTGTCCTGATGAAAAAAACAAAAAACAAAAGATTCTTCACATTGTAATCCGATGGTCCGAGTTGAGGGGTACGGAGCAAACTGTATGTGGTCCGTGGACTGTACTTTGGCCATCGCCTGTATCCAGCGTGCCTCCGCTTCACACTGCAGTGACCCATGAGCTCCCCCTGTTACGTCCTGTATGCCTTGATGATGTCTGCACGCAAGGGTGTAATTGTTTCATCAGACCCTTTTGTGGATCAATAGTAGACAGTGGCAGACGTGGTGGGTTGCGGGCGGGTGTCGGTTGTTATTTGTGTGCCCGTCAGCGATCATTGGCGGAAGACGTTCAGTCTCACCGCCCCATCCTCTCCCTGACCTCGCTGCCAATAATGATTCTGTCGAGCCACAGAAAGTGCTGCTTTCGCATTCTCGTTGTGTTGTACAAAAAGTGACACCTTACGGAGTCCTGAGGGCCTCGCTCGCGTGGTTTTCAAACTATTGCTCACTGTCAAAGCAAATGAAAAAGAGGAAGAAAGTGTTCCCGCCGTGCGTGGACTAAGAATGTTACATTTAAAAATAAAACAGCCAAGTAATGGGCTTCTCTTCACCTTTTTGTCTTCATTTGTACCCAAAACTCAAACATGTGGAGGTAGTGGACTTTAGGGATTCTTGTTGGCGGCCAGGTGGTCCAGGGGTTAGCGTGTCGACCTCACAGTGCAGAAGTCGTGTGTTTGATCCCCCGGCTCCGACCTTCCTGTGGGGAGTTTGCATGTTCTCCCCGTGCCTGCGTGGGTTTTCTCCGGGTACTCCGGTTTCCTCCCTCATTCCAAAAACATCCATGACAGGCTGAATGACAATAGATTACCATTGCTAAATTAACTAGCACGTTGCGTGTTTTACAAGTCACGAGTGCAATGGGTAATTCTTGTCAACCTTTATTTGTGCCGTTATTATGGTATGCCCAAAACGATGTCAGAAAGCGGAGTAACTGGCCCTGTGTGATCAAATTTATCACAAGTGCTTTTGCTGCGCCCTTGGCTGTCAGTTCAGGAGCCTCAGGTAGTGAACTTGTCCTGTCACGGAAGTCCCGTTGTGTTCAGCGGGGCGAAAACACTTTGACATGCTCACGCAGAGGCCCACAGGCCTCGCGGAGCTCTTAGCTAAGCTCCCGTGTAGCTTACACTGTCTGTTTCCTTACTAGAAGAGTGTGGCAACGTGTCAAAGGGCTTGTTATGTCAAATTGCTTTTAAGTGCATACACCACACTATTGTTTACTTTCGTGCAGTTCAATGTCAGCCTGGACTATGAATATACTGCGGGAGCGCAGTGGGAAAAAAAAAGCTTCATTGCTTAACTGTGGGCTGATATTCGTGTCACACCTCTTACAACACAAGTCTTGGCACCTTTATTATGTGCATGGTAGCAGGCTGCTTGTTTGACCACGATGGAGTAATATCGATGGCTAAAATAAAAAATTTAAAAAACAAACAAAAAAAAAAACAAAACAAAAACAAAAAGGGTGACAAAGGGCAAGCATGATTCACTCTCTTTTTCACACATTCAAGCAAAACAAATGTGCACTAAACACCCCAGGCACAAAGGAACAAACCATTGCTTTTGCTGACTTAAAGGGGAAGTCAAGTGAAACATTTTCTTGACAGGAGTATTTTCTAAGTGCCCCCACGAGTCTTAACAGAGTATTCTAATTCATATTTATATTCCACAAATGCAATATTCATCTGAATACTATGTTTGGATTAGTGGGGCCCACATATAACCTATTATTGTAAAGACGAATTTTGACTTAACACCCACTTTGAAAAAACGTACTTTTTCTTCATATATTTTGCTCAGTCCACCCTGCTCCTCTCGCCTCCCTGCTTTTTAAGGTCCTCCACTTACTATCATGCAAAACTCGACACAACTAGTTTGAAGGTTGATGACTGACATGTTTTTCTCGTCGAATGAATGCAGGGCTCCCCCTCTTTTTTTTTTCTTTTCATGTTCGGGCATGTCGTGGCACCCCAAACGACGATTACAGCAATTCCAAGAGGGCCTTTGCACAGCTTGGTGACCAGGCCCGGATAAACAAGTATGAAATTAAATACGTTCAAGAAAAATAATTGACAGAATGTCTAAAAGCAACATGTGGCTACGAGGCCATCCTCCATCATCTTCCATTATCCTACCTCATTGGATATTGCCGCGAAGCAGACGGGGACGCCAACTGCCTGCAGAAATCGTGGTCGTGCTTGTGGAAAACTCTTTGATGAGTGGGCACAGCTTGCCGTGTACGTACACTCTTATTTATTTCATTATTTTCTGCAGCCTCACCAGACTTCTCAATAGTTGAGAGTGGCTTCTGGGCACTTGGTGAGAAGAAGATCTCACACTTGTAACATCTGGTGGCCCTCACATCTTTAATGCTTGCTCATCTGAAAACGTGGACTGCCGTTGTTCTTCAAATGGACACCTCTTTGTCCCATCAAGTGTAATCATCAGAGTTTACAGAAGGGACATACGTTGAAAATTTGTTCATGCGAAACCCATTTGAACGTTGTTGCTAACCACAACAGCATAGTGGTGGTGGACGGTCTTAACAACTCACCAAACTGTTGCTTTTGTACTCAGGCCAAAGCCAATTGTCATATAAAGATATTGCTTTGGCGCCATCTGGTGGCATCTTGGAGCCAACTACCCTTGTTGAAGTGAGGGGTGGAGCTTTACTTTGTCAGGACATATCCTCGTCCAATGCAAAAAAAAAGTGCTTTGCATTTTTAGGCAATTATAAACCTTTTGGGGTCGGTGTCAATAGCTTATGAATCACTATTTATGGCGGTACATTATCATACGGTAACATTGTTAAAGTCGCTGTAAATTGAAATAAATATGTGTCTAAATACTCGGGATGGGAGAGTACCGCTTTCAGGTATTGGTATCGGTTCCAATAGCAGCTTGATTTTAAGGTATTGGGTCATCATAGATGCTGCCAATACCGGGCAGCGATACTAAAGGCAGGAAAAAAAGTATTAAATTGAAGTCCTCCTTGGCGAATCATCATCGGCAACGGAAAGAAAAATTTTTGTTCATTTTTCTCCATGTGTGAAATGAAATTTGATATATTATTGCTTGGTATTGGTGAGTACTCAGAGAGTTGATACTCATTCCGGTATCAGTCTGAAAAAAAGTGATATTGAACAGCCCTACTAAATATATCATAGTTTGAAGATTTATTGTTCAAAATGGGTGCAAAATAAAGACTGAGGACTATGGAATTGTGGAGATCGAGTATGAAACTGTTTTTCCGGCAATTTTGCTTTGTTCTTGTCAGAGTCCAGACTTCTGATTGCAGAAACTGCAAACAAACCGTTGTTTTCCCACCATTTTTATTAGCACTTGATCCTTTGGCGGCGGTCTGAGCTCCAATAGTCTGGTTATGCTTATACGGTTTCACTGATTATCCATGTTGTCGGAAAAACAAAGCCAGCATTTAGGCTTGCGGCACACACAGCCGCTAATTCTATCAACAATCATTTTGAGTACCTTGGCATCCAAGACTGGCTTTGACCTATTAATCAACACAGTGCTTGATTAGGGGATTCTATTTTGATTATAAAGTGGCCTTAAGTCTCTCAAGCCAACCAAGGCTTCTTGGTGCTTCATGAGCACTCTCGGTAATGGATCCATTTCCTCTTGCTTCCCCTGGTTATCCTTTGAGTACTTTAGCATACATGACAGCTCGTAATAGTAAAAGACGGGTTAGTGAAACATGAGTTTCATGTTTCATGACCACCTCACTTGCAAATCAGTCGCTCCATACAGAGTGTAGCCGTACGGTTGCTGGAAAGCTTGTACAAATCCACGCGTTACATCGTAATTGACCGAAAGGTGTAGAACACATACGGCCTCGGTAGATGTCAAGTGGGCCGGACCATTAAAATTATACCATACTCTGTTATAAATAACCAAAATAATATGTCTTTCCTATGTTTTGGTCTAAAGAAGCACAAGAACATGTCCTTGATAGCATCTGCTGTGTTGGGTCTCAGTGAAAGACTGAGACTGCTGTTGTCTTCTACTCTGATCAAAACAGTGTGTCCCCTCGTGGATACGCCATGAATTGCACCTTATTAAAAATATTCATTCCGTGTTTTTTATGCATTTTTTCACTTTTAAATGATCCTGCGGGCCTGATTGAACCTCCTTGAGGGCCGGTTCCGGCCCGTGGGCCATATGTTGGACACCCTAGTGTAGAAATTCCATCCATCAATTTTGTACGGCGGTTATCTTCGTTAGGGTTGCAGCTAAGTTGAAGCGTGTCCTAGCTGACATTGTAAAGGGTCGGGTTTGACGCAGGACTGGTCGCCAGACAATCATTCACACTCACACCAAAGGACAATTTAGCATCATGAATGGGGTAATTGGGATGAAGATTTAAGCGAAAATAGAGTTATTATCTGTACGAAAAATAAAAATATCACTTTTTTTTTTATTTTTTTTACTATATTCTCTCAAGCTGCTATTGTGTTTTTTTCTGTTCTAGGCAGTGACGGTGGCATGAAAAGACCAAGCGAGAGTTGCCATGATGTGAACTTCTAAGATCTGTCCTCACCCTGCTGATTGACGGCTGCTGTTGTGACCATGAGAGCATCCGATGGGTTCTTAACCCGCCGGCGCCACCGTCCGGTTGCGTGAGCGCCGTCCAACTCTCCCCCCACAGATCTCGCACGGCATGGCCTCTCTGGACCTGCCGTATCGCTGTCCTCGCTGTGGGGAGCACAAGCGCTTCCGAAGCCTGTCGTCCCTGCGTGCCCACCTGGAGTACAACCACACGTACGAGACCCTCTACGTCCTCTCCAAGTCCAACAGCGTTTGCGACGCCGCCGCCCTGCTGCCCCTCGTGACGGAGGGAGCCCTCCTGCCGCCTCCCAACGATAACGACCCCTTTGAGCCGCTGCAGCCGTCGGCATTGAAAGAGCGCCGCTTCCCCTGTCGCGAGCTTCCGTGCGTGGACGACCTGAGTTTGACGCCGGCGGGCTCCAACACTTCGGCCAGGTACATCCCCAATGTGGAGTTTCCTCTGGGGGAGATTTTGATGAAGACGGCCATGACATCCACAGACCCCGGCCCCTATGGGAACCCCAGTACAGCCGTGGCCGTAGCAGCTAACGTCGCCGCCAGCGCAGTGGAGGCGGCATATGAAGAAGGCCTGGCCAGGTTGAAGGCGCGCGCCTTTGAGCGTCTCGAGCTGGATGAAAGGATGGAGAAGCTTTCTGAAGAGGTAAATAGGATCATTTTTATTCCAGTACCCAGTCAGATGATGGGGACAGGAGACATCCAATGTTGTCATTTGGGGGCCCAATGCTAACCCATTCTAGGGGCCCTCCGGCCCCCACGTTAGTGTATGGCAAAGATTTTGAATATTTATCATCAACGAGATCAATAATCCTTCTTGGGGATTAACACGCAAATTATTCCAAGCCTTCGTGACTGATAAGAACATAAATCGTCCTTTAATGTAGTTTCCCCTTTTGATTGCTTTAGTAATCATATCTTCAGAATGAACAGCCGCACTCGTATTACTCTCCACTTCATCTTTATTGTCTTGTCAGCTGACCCCTACAGCAGTGCTCCTGGAAAGCGCCTTTGACTGTTTCCGTCAGTGACGTAGCTTTACCCTCACAGTGAAAAAGCTTAATACTTTATGGGATGGAACAGCCCATTGCATGAAAATGGAGGAACGCGATTCAAATAATCCCCTGATCCACTCTGTCGATGGCAAATAGCAGAGTTTTGTTTTTTTTTTAACTCCACGTATGATTGAACTCTAAGTCAGATCTGAATGTATTGTTGTACTTGTCAAGTCACATTTGTTTTATACACCCCTTAATCCCAAAGTCTCCAAAGGGCTTCACGTGCCCACAGTTGACAAATCTTACTGACATCCCCTAAACTTAACCCCCAGGAGGGCAAGGAAAACTCCAAACAGCCCATCTGGGGATAAAATGAGAAACCTTGAGAAGGGGCCGCAGATGGGAAAATCCTCCCTTCCAGGATGACCAGGCTGCAATGGATGCCGAGTGGGCATCATTTGACACAATATTGTACTATAACATGTTAGCTAGAATGATGTAAAAGTCCATTTAAGATGAAAACGCTGCAGGGAGATGCCTCTGAACACGGCCCGGTTGGTCAATGAAGAAATCTTCATAGCAGCGCCTCCAAGTCTCCGGTCTCTTGTCCAGCTCCGTCGGTGCAAATCATGTCCATCATCGATTGCAGCAGAATCCGCACGACAACATCCAATCGGGTCGTCATCAAAATGCTCCGAGCGAGAACGAGAATTTTTAAGTGAATAACGGAGCATAATTTGAAGTGCCGTCAGGTATAAAAATTACAGAATCGGTTTGAATAATGTCTTACATTACTGTAAGATGTGCAACGCTATGGTTTCCTTTACTAGCGCGCGACTTTAACATCTGTCGTCTTGTAGGTGGAGCAGAAAATAGCGGCCCGCGTAGGCCGTCTCCAGGCCGAGCTGGAGCGAAAGAGCTCCGAGCTGGAGAGGGCCAAGCACGAGAGCGAGCGGCTCAGCCAGGAGAAACAAGAGCTTGAGGACAAGGCCTTGGAACTCTCCCGGCAGGTGGACGTCTCGGTGGAAATGCTGGCCAACCTGAAACAGGACCTGGTCAACAAGGAGGCGGAGCTCAACCATAAGCAGCAGTAAGTGACAGCCTTGGTCATGTCAAGTGAAACACCTTGAATACGTCACCACCGTTGTCCTTACTTCTCCACTTATAGTCTGCATAAACCCCGTTTAACATTCAAAGGCTGATCGTCCGACTCAAATCATCTCAATCGTACAACCCTTTCAAACCTCATGGCTCGGTGTTTTGGACGTATCATAGAGGGATTTGACGCGAAATTATATTTCATCTCTGGTTAATGTGCACAGCGCTGCTTTTTGTATTACTGTCTGGACATTGGCCCGATCCTTTTCTATCAGCCTTCATTAGCAGATTGATTTTTTCTTTTTTTTTTTTGCAATCCTAGACTGTGTCCCCTTTCACCGTGGGAAATGAAAATCCATCAAAAATCCCATTTGCAGACTGAAATATTGGAAGAGTTAGGCCAAACAGCCTTACTGCTAATAAAATATGACAATTGAAGATGAAGACCAATGCAGAAGTATGACTTGAATGCACAGAAGGTTTCAACACCAAAACAGTTGCTTGTGCCCGCAAAAAAGTTACATTTGCTGTTGTGCGATCATCATGACATTTCACAAAAACAAGCAAAAGCAAAAGCAATCCAGTCAAATTAATCCTTTAGAACACAGGTGTCAAAGTCAAGGCCCGGGGGCCAGATCCGACCCACCACGTCATTTTGTGGCCCGCGAAAGCAAATCATCGGTGTCAACTTCTATGATCCGCGCTTAAATCTGTACCGAAATCTCAAATTGTCTTACGTAATAAATAACGGTAACATTTTGCAATAAGTTTGTTACCCTGTTTACACTCACTTCAGCACTAATTGAACACATACTTGACTGATTTCAAAACTAGTGAGCCATCATTTATTTTGTGTACAAGTAATAAGACAATGTGATGATTAAACATTTATTCGGTTTCACTGTTGTAACGGCCCTCCGAGAGAAGATGTAACTCCAAAGTGGCCCGCGACAAAAATTTGTTTGACACCCCTGCTTTAGAAAGTCACTGAGCTGAAGTTGAGGTAAATGTGCTGATTTCGCCTTTTTTTTCTTTAAAGACACTTAGGAGGTCAATATTTGGAGTGGAAGCTCGATGTCAGCATAATGGTCAGGTGTGTCCCGATACTTTTGCCCACATGGCGTTTGTCTGATTGTCCTTTTCACCAGGCAGCTTCATGAGCTGGCTCATGTTTCCGATTCTATAATTAGAAGTCTTGGTTGGACATAAAGCGCACAGTCTGGTGATGGATGTCATTTCTGGACATGAATCTGATGAGCGTGTTTGATGTTCTCCCACAACATGGCTATGGACAAAGTATGGCCAGAACTATTTTGAAGATATATTTTTTTTAAGACTGAATTCGATCCAAAGAAACATTTACTGTTGCCCAGAATCAGAACAGAATCTATGTTAATTAAACAAGAGTGTATGGTAGACATAATAATGTCCATGTTCACATGACAGATGGTAGATGAAAGGGACACTAAACTCACGATAATATCGTTATTTTATCAGCTAAAACTATTCATTAAAAAAAAAAAAAAAAGATTAAAACGATGCAGCGACCTACTTAAGAGTCTGCACCATTTTTTTCCAGTCTTTTCACTTTCACGAGAGTGCTAATTCAGGTGATTGTGACAAATATGGCCAGTTCCGCCATATATAGAAAAACCATACAGGGTTATTAAATATTCAGCAACTACACACTACATACTGTTGCTGTCCAGCGGAATCATGACATCTCAAAATGCGATTTTGCTTGAATTACCGAACACCGCAGAGTTCAAATTGGCATTATGTGTATTTTACTTTGCTGTAATATAGCATTGCATACCAACATCAACACAAAATCGTGTTCAGTAGCTAGTTTAATTCGCTATAAACAATCACTAATTCATTACACCGAAAAAAACTAAACCAAAAAAAAATAATAATAAGTATTACGCTGTCATTGATTGAAATGTAAATTAGAGTGCCAGCTTCTCCCGCGAGCACCTAGCGGCCAAATTATAACATTTTAATCAATGACAGCATAGTAAGCTTTTTGGGATCATAAACTTGAGCTACATTTTACCGGGCAGCCAGGACAGAGACGTGTGTATCCAAAGTTTTGGTTCTGTTTGGAGGACATTTTGTTTGTGTGCCTCTTTGTCTATTTCTGTGTGTGTGAGTGTGTGTGTCTTGTACATGCCCTGCTACCGACTGGCAGTCCAGGGTGGAAGGCTCAAGCTCATTGACCATAATAAGGAAAGGTACAATAGAAAATGGATGAATGGATTTGTAAGGAAAGACATATAGATACAGGTATGTGTGTATATATATATATATATATATATACACATATATAATTTTAATTATGCTGCTTAAATTCTACTCCCCCTGGACAGTTTATTAGATACACCTTTACCATTGAGCGCTAAAGCATAGAATCGTGCCTTCTCCAAGATAATCCGTGCTTGTTCTCTCGTTTTGCCTCTCTCTGCGCGCAGTTTCTCAGTCTGTTTCTCTCTGGGGTGAAGCTGGCAGTCAAACAGTGAGATCATTCACACTCTTAAGTACAGAACAGCTAAGCAAAGATAGGGGGGGAAAAAAAGAGCATCACCGTCAGTGTGCGTCCGACTGAGCCCGTGACTAAGCATTCCTGAACGGACACACAGCCTTTTAAAAGTCACTGCGTGTCATGAGGCTTTAACAGAATCTTGTCGGTCCATCAGAGGCGAGAAGTATGAAAAATGTGAGTTGCTAGGCGACGGCGGGACACTTAGCGGCGGTATCCATAAATGTGAGAAATAAACTAAAGGCAGATGATTGATTTTCTGCTCCGAGGTAGTGTAAATAAAAGAACGGTAATTCCCAAGCATGCATTTTGGATTGCGGTGTATGATAAACGCAATAGGTCGGTTCAGGAAAGTACATCACAAGAACACAGTTTCCCCCCTTCACTATGGTTCATTGTTCACGCCTCCGCGGACTGTTTTTTTTTTTTTCTTTTTTTTTTTTTAAATTCACGGTCAT